TATGGAGCACACCGTGGCTACGATTAACTGGATACGCTTGTTGGTTCGGTAACACGATTCTCTTGGCCTGGTTTAAGGAAAATTTCAACCCGCGATTCACTCTCTGCGTTGCGTTTTCCTATGCTCCGTGGTACGATTCGTTAAGGGTAAATTGGGGCAACACGGTATCTCTGCTCTTTTGAAGCGGGAGATCCCGATGTTTGGTACCATTATCGCGAGTTCAGCTCTGTTAATTTTCAGGAGATTCCGTTCCAAATGGAAGTGCGTTATTTATGGACCCATAATGGAAAGAAGACGATCTCAAAGTTGGAATAAAGCGAAACGTTTGGGACAAGTGGAAACGTCGTTACGAGGATTGTAAATTATCGACAGGCGTGTCGCCTCGATTTAATCGGTTTCAATACTGGTTTTAGATCCATTATTTTTACACTTGATATAAAAAGAGAGATTTGCCGGAACGATATCGATATCGATTCGTGATATCGAATTAACCAGGTTAGTAACAGTAATCGGTGAAAGAATAGAGTTGTCTCAACAGTTGAAGATTTATAACGTTGACGTTTCGCGTTATTTTACTTTCTAACGTGGCACCGTTTATTACTTACTTCCAAGTAGCGTGAAATGTAAAAATGGAATGATAGGGTCCTCCGCTCTGTGAACTGGTCGGCCAAGAGAGCGATTCGTGAAACTTTGATCTCGCTTGAATTTCAATCTCGCGAGGAGTGTTATTACCACGTAGGCAGTCGAAAAGAGGTAGAAGAATGCGGCGAACGCGATATTACGCGCTTAAACGTGGGTGCTACTTCGGTGTAATTTCCTCGACACTTAGACCACGTTGATGGGAGGCCACGAGCGGTTAAATAATTACGAAACAATGATATTCGGATTTCGTAAACATCTCTCTGTGGATCAACCAACGTCCGAGTTGCAACGAATAATTTTGCAAGGAATAATTTTCGAAACGAGCGTGAAAATCGTTGGAACAAAAGAATTTATGCCCCGCTATTAAGCCGATGATGATGATGATGATAAGGAGTGGCTGTGCAATTTAGGAAAATCGATTATGCCTTAACACGTGTGATTCGCGATCCTTTCAACATCTGCTTGCGCGCGAAATTAACGCCCGAGAAAACGAGGAAAATTCGATACATCAATTTCCAAACTTAAATTTTCATTCAATTTTGTCAACTTCTATTCTTGAACTTTTAACGTTTAAAATAGTTTCTTTCAACGAATACGTTAGAGAATACGTTAGAGCGAGGGAAAAAAGTTGTTACTTGTTGAAAAAGTTACAAGCTGTTTTCTCGTAAACTTACAGTCAGCGAGATTATTAGGACTTTTAATGATTTCCCCTTCCTTACCAGGGAAGATGATGCATCGTAATAATCTCGAATATCGCTTATCTTCAAAAGCAAAAGAAACATCCAAGTTTAAATACTCGTAGAAATAAAATTATTATAAATTCATTTGCTCACGGAATACGATAAATTGATTCTATGGTCAACGATCGCTGAAAATTGATAAGCCATCGATATTATCGAGTTCGATGACTCGATCCACCTGGTTATACCTCGATCTCGTAAAGTTTTCACTGCAGGAAAATGGTGGCCGTGTCTGTTCGCAAGGGGATTACTATCGTCGGGTGGGCGAAAAGTGTTAACCTAAAAAAAAAAAAAAAAAAAAAGAAATAAATAAATAAGTAAATAAAAGAACACGAGGAAAATACAAGGGGATCGTGTTACTGGTCGAACTTAAGTGCTATTGCAACGGGTGACATTCTCAGAGCAGTGCAGCCGGTTTTATTAGCAGCGAACGTTTACGGGATATTTTCTAGCGATCCATTCGCGAGTAAACGGCGAGATGGTGGAAAAACGAGCAGTGATCGAGAAAAAAGGGACACACGATGGTAGAAGGGAAGAGCGTCGTGGAATTTCGCGTTTTTGAACGACGAAGGCTTGGAATGTTTGCCAAGGTATCCGCGATGAAGCGCACTGTGATTCATTGAATTTCGTGGAGGCGTTATCGTGGTATCGAGGGGGAAAAAAAAGAAAAAATAAAAAATGAAAGAGAAAAAGAAGAACAGGAACGGAAGGAGATGACTGGAAACTGGAATAAAATATTTTGACGCGATACTATTCATTCCGGTGGTCGTTGGAATATTTTACTCGCGAGAGATACAGGAGTCGAAGTGAATATTTCATCGCCGCAATATTACCCATTTCTGCAATCTTCTTGCTGCGTTTAGGAACATTCCGTTTTAACGAGATGCTTCTCTTTCTCCATTGTATCAGACAGGTTCGTTTGAACGCATGCTTTCTTCAAATTCCTTCAACTTCCATAATTCAAGTTGCACTATCACGATATTACTTCCATTCGAATATCTTCCCGGATCAAAAGTGGAGGACTAAGCAGGAAGAAACGAAGCAACCTCCTCTTCTTATTATTACCGAGTATATTCGAGTTCGAGCGAATAATCCAAAATGTTCCATTTGAGTTTGTTGAAAAATTACAGAGAATAGAAAATTCTTCGATTCTTATACGATTCTTGACCTGGCCAACACGAGAATCGGAGAAAGAGGGTCGAGAAGCGAGTATTATATAATAGCTCGGAGGCAAATAGATTAGAAGTTCCCCGCTAATTTCACCTAATAAATCGAGCGTTCTGTCCCGGTGTGGCACGCATGCGAAATTAACCGGGGGAGACGCGGAAATTGAGGGGGCGGAGAAGTTTATCGGGTAAGCAACGTCGACTGCCTTTAATTTATCTCCTGTCCCGGCCTCTCGTTCTCTCTCTCCGTAAAGCGGCGCACGCATAATCGCGGTATCCCCTGGACGTTATCGGTTGCACCTGAAGATCGGCTTGTCTCTAAGTACGATATTCGAGATTTATCGTCTCAATTTCAATGGGCACGCTCGGTCGGTGCCTATTAAGTTATCCGTGTTCCGCTACCCTTTCGCGTGCCCTCTCCCTCCCTTCCCGACCTCTTTCCAGATTCCAATTTACATTGAATCTTGTGTTAAGCCTTAATATCTGATTATCTACAATCACGACGTCTTGTAACACGGTTGTAACACAACCGTTTCTACCAAGCGAGGAGGAATTTCCTTGGAAACGGTGAGAGGAAAAGGCGGCGCGTCAACGCGGTAGCGATACGGCCGGATTCCAACAACTCTCTAGTCTTGTACTCTCTCTCTCTCTCTCTCTGTAGCGAGGAGAATCATAATTGGGCCACTCGACGAACACAGGGTATATACCTACCGGCTGCATCACGATCCGACCCGGTGAGAATGGCAGCTATTGTCTATGAAACGTGTGCGGGCGGTTTATCGGTCCACGAGATCGCTTTATTGATTTTGGCCGTTGCCATCAAGATACCCATTCCCGGCACAGCTAACAATGGCCACTGTTAATGATCGACTGCAGCCAGAAGTTACGGGTTTCCGTGATTCATGATTGGCCAACGGTTACCCTGGCTCGATCCTCCTCGAAAAGTGATGCACACGGTAGCCGGTTCAAAATCTGCGCGCAGTACTTAAACATCTTGCCGCTCCGTTTAATGACCGCCGTTTCCAACCGTTGTTTCCACCGTTGTTCCCCAACGAGGGAAACTTCATCAAGTTTTAATTACCAATTCCGATGAAACTTCATAGACGTCGGCGCCACGTGGTTTGCGATGCTTGCCGCCGCTAACCTTTAGCAAACTATTTGGCCAACTTTCAAATGTTGTATTAATATTATATCGTTCACGCTTTTTGTTTTAATTATTTTTGGATTTACAACACAGATTTTATTAATACACCTTATTTGAATGAAACTCTGAACTCTTATTATTCGAATTAGTTATGGGAATAATTCTAAATACACGTTTAACACGAATGAAAACAAATGATTAAACGTGTATAATCGGTCATCATATCCCCTCATATGGATTGCCTGTCTCCTTTTCGTTTTCACAAATTCATTTTTACCGTGGATACTGTTGCGTAATTATATACCGAATCATTAAGATCGAAACACCTTGGATAGAAATTCTTCGCTCTTAACAAATTCCACGGTAGTACCATTGTACCGTATTACTATTCAAACATCCACAGAGAAAATCTATTTCATGCGTTTTATCATTTTAAATTCAATTTATACGAAGGATGCGAACGGTTGCCGAGAATCGATCTTCGATCGTATTCGTATCCATCCTCATCCCACGCCGTGGCAATCTCGCGATGCATCTGTTTGCGCACATTTGCGTGCACGTGGTGTTTTTACACCGCCACGTGTAATCCCTCCGAATTCCGTGATCCAAGGCCGCGAATAAAGCCGCGGCGCTACTCGCAATCGGCGTAACTCATTATTACGGCGCCGACGACTTGCGGTCAGCGCAAACCTGACCTTCGTGTTCTCTCTCTGTCTCTCGTTTCCTTATTGCATCTCTCTCTGTCTCTCCATATACACGCCAGGATCCCTAATGACGAATCGAATTGAAATTGAACCGTGCACGATGGTGAAACGATCGCCTATCGATGAAATTTTCCGCCTCTCGTTTCGGGAAAAAAATTGCGCTCGACGTATCGCGTGACCCGAAACAACTATCACTGCTGGATATATATTTCGGGGGAAAGTTAACGTCCATCCGAGCTATTGCTGAAACTTTTATCCGCCGCCAACTTTTTCCAGATACGTACGAGGGGGAGGATTACTAGCGGCTCCAGTTAGCCTCGAGGCGCTTAACCGAACTTGAAGTGTCGCTTTCTCGCGTTCTCAAGCTTTTTGTCGAATCGTGGACGAGGCGAAACAGCACAGTTCTTCATAAATTATTTACTCGCCATTTTATTTATCGTTTAAACGTGGGAAAAAGGATGGCTTTATAGACACGTATAGTCTTTAGAAAGAATTTACACTTTTCTGTTCGTGACTACAGATAAACCGCGTTTGACGACTCGAGGACTTAAGATTGGTGGTTGTAATAGAATCTAGAACGATCGTAAATATTCCACGCCTCGTCTCTCTCGCGGATGTGTAAACAGGCCGCAAAAGACACTCTCCACTGCGTTAACTGGAGAGGAGGGATCGGCGCAGCAGGTGCAAATCCGGTATCTTTTCATCACAATCGTCGCTGATAATGGGCTTTAGAAGTTTTAAATTACCGAAAGAACGGGTGGGAATTTTTCAAAGTCAGCTGCATTCGCATCCGGCCTGCGAAGGATATCGTGATACGTCATTGAGAAAAATCGTTTTCGCGTCCCCACGAAAAGGATAGCCGTCCGATTAGTCGTTGTCAAAACGTTGAATGCGTATCTCGTGGCGGTGATCTCGGATACCGTAGAGGGGATGCATGGTCGAGGGTGGCCGATTTCGTGGCCAAGATTCACCTTTCGATCACCACCTGCAACCACGTTCGCCGCGCGGATTCGAGGCGCGTGCTTTGGCAAAGTTTCTCGAGAGGGGAGGAGTGGTACGTCGAACTTGCTCGAGCACCGAGAAACCATGTACAGAGAAACGCCCCCCTCAGAACAGAGGAGATCGTGAAAAACGATTTCGTGAAAATCGACAAATTATCTTACCTCCTTCGGGGGACTGGCAGAATGTTTCTGAGCAGAAAGGGGGGAGGGGGGGAGGCACGATAATCATAAAATATTCGCCGGTTTCGGTTCGAAAGGAAGGGAAGAAATAAGGGGGATGGCCGGTTACTCCCCGGGTCATTATTTCGTTTAAGACGAAAACGATGTTTCGTGCGGCCGCCGCGGAGCGCCGTGAAAATTGCCTCGAGCTGCCTCCACTCTTATCAAATAAAACGAGGGAGGGATGGGCGGGGGGATGGGCAGCGATGGTGCCGAGGGACGACGCACGGCACGGGTCAGAAGAGAGGTGGTGTGCTCGGGGCTTACGGACGTGCGAACTGACAGGAGTCCATCCCAGATATCCGGCAAGAAGGTTCTCGTTTTTGCGGCCGGTACCCCGTCCTTTTTTCCTTTCTCTCTCTCTCTCTCTCTCTCTCTCCCTCTCTTTGCGCCATCACCGGGGCTATACTTACGCCGGCTGTACTCGTTATTTCCCATCCGTTCCTCTCTCCGAGACCTTCTTTCATATTTAACCCGTCCGTCGCTTCGAAGCTTTCGGCATGTTTAATTTAATCGGTATCGACGCCCTCGACCGAGTGAACCGTGCGGGAGGAGGAGAGGCATGGACCAGTCCCTCCAACGTAAGCACCGTGGTATATTCCGCTTGCGAAACGCCCTCTCCTCCATTCGCCGCTCGCCGATTTTACGCGGCACGGCGTGCCGTCGTCGCACGTTCCGGAGTTTGTTTACACGCGCGAGACGGCGAGCGATCGTGTCGCCACTCGACACGGAACGAATGGATTTTCATCCTCGTCGATGGGGGACGTGTTAACAATGAGCAATCTTTATTTATTTACCGATGGAATCGTGCTTGGAGAAAATCTCACTTCGATTAAGATTTAAACCATCTTGGCTGTGTCGTTTCGTTTTCTTTCTCTCTTTCTTTTTCTTTTTTCCGAGTTAAATGTGATAATTTTTCGACGATGAATATCCGTAAGTTTGCGAAAGAACGTATTTTTTTTTTTTTTCTTTTTAAATGAACGATACGAATCTCGGATTTCTTCCTGAAAAAAAAAAATGGAAAATGGCGGTTATCGTTGGATCGATTATAACAAGATTAATTAGTGGGAATGCGGCGTGTTGTTAATTAGCGATTCTGATTTCCGCATTGTAATATTTTGAAATTTCGTTTCATTATAATTATCATCTGTAACGCAACGCAAAATCTGTATCTCATCGAAATTTAATTATCGTAACGCGATATCGCGAGCTCCTTATCGATTCGATGCCCCCCCTCGCCCCTCCCCCAATCGCCAGGGGCTTCTCTCGTACGAATTTTTCGCGCGAAACGCGGGGAGGAAGAGAGGAAAAGTGTGTGTGTGTGTGTGTGTGTGTTTCCCGATTTTAATACTCAAGGGACGCCGGATGTCCTAGCTAGGGTTGAAATGGGAAGAGATGAAATCTTTTATCTCAACTTGTGCATAAAGCAGCGACTTTTATGACTGTCACTTTAAGGCCGAAGCTTTACGGCCCCGGCTGCTTGCATATTTTACTCTGATCCAACGTAGCGGCGCGAGATCAAGCGAAATTGAAGAGTCGTATATTATAACGAGAGCCACTTTCGACCTTCTCTTTGTCCGCTTACGGAAATTGCAGCCGCCGCTCTTTTACCTGCCTAGCCGATCCTTTATTCCATCGAAATCAAAGGATGCATCCATGATCGATACCCTTCTGTGTCGCTTAATTAAACTAGATCACTAAGGACACTTCAGAAGTTACTTCGATCATCCTCTCCCCCTCTATCTCTCTCTCTTTTTTCCCTCCCCCTCTATCTTTCTTACTCTCCGCGTTACCGGTTACAGAAGCTTGAAAATAACACCGATTACCCAGATATGGAAAATCTTGTTACACGCGAGAGACCTTTGCCCCGGCGAGCAAAGCGGCTCGAGATCGTATTTTCTGATAAAGCGCCGTGGTGCAAACGTAAGAGAATAGAAGGAAAAAAAAAAAAAGAAAAAAAACCCACGCGAAACAAGGGTGAACCGTGGAGGTATAAACTCTGCTTTTAAGCGGTGTTCGCCACGTTGCGAACGAGGGAGGGGGTTTATAGCGAAATCTCACGCGAAAACTCGCGACGGAATCTGGTTTTTCCAAAGAGATGTTGATAAGAGGAGGCGGAAGGAGGATTCAGGAACACCGACTTTCTTGCGGGGAGAGAGTTCGTTCGGCTCGTAAAGATGTCCCATCTTTGAGAGTGGGAATGGGGAGGAGAGGGTCTATAAGAGGTCTCTTTCTCGACGGTAATATTATTGCCTCGATTCCCTCCGTAATATTCACGAGCCGTTCAAAGAGTGGCAGCCGCGAAATGGAACGAAGGCGAATTCGCTGGAACTCGGCGGATTTGAAAAACGTCCCGACAGTTATTACACCGGAGGAGAATTTCGGCGGGGTTACGTCCGTCTCGGTGGCGGGTTCATCGCGATTAATGAGCTTGGACCGCCGCCATCGTTGGAATCATATAAGAAACACGTCGGTTAAACGGCAATTTCGTGCAGCGCCATTTTTTTTCCAATGCGAAAAGCAGGAGCGAGGAGATGCGAAGGAGGGAGGAGATTCGTACATTCGTGGCCCCTGCCCCTTCTTTCCTTCTTCTTCGTACGAGTGTATTCGCGACAATACGTGACACGCAGCAAAAGTTGAAGAAAGAAACACGATACAGCAAGTTTATCGTTTCTTATTTCCCTCTTGAAAGGGATAAGGGGCTTGGTTGTGATCCAAGGGTTAAAGTAAAACACTAACTATTTAACCGTTTTGTTACAATCGTTGTAACAACGTATACCTATCTCGAAAATAGGCGAGAGCAAATAGGCTCGAGAGATATAAAGTTATTCTTATCCCGCGTAACATATTTACGCATCCGTACGAGGAGTAACAGTGAAAAAAGGGTCGATACTTAAATCACAGCGCAAACACGGCGGACAAATAAGAATACGTGCGCAAATTCTAATACAGCCGGTGTTATTGTACACCTACTGTCTCGCCGACTTTATTTTCTTGACACGCGTGTCCGAGGAGAAAAGGAAGGACGCGTCTAAGGAGGACGTAAGAGAACGTTCCCAGGTTTTTAATAGAAGCGGAGGATTCTTTTCGACGCTGGCACCTCGCCAGGGTACACGCGAACGAGGAGGACGTTTCGAAAGCAGCGTTGCGTGTAACACGCCGTGACAAAGTCAAATATACCGATCGTACCTGAACCAACCCGACGGGGATGTACGGCTAAACCGTTTCTGGCGCTCCTTGCTGCGCCGTTTCCGGAGCTGCCGCCGCCACGATTATGGTGGAGAGGAAGGGGGACTTTTAGTTGCTTCAACTTCTGTTTCGAGCATTGTGAGCACAGGAATCCGCCTTTCTTATCCTTGGGATATAACTTTCGCCTCGTCGTAAATTATCCAATTTCCGGGATAGGAATTAGAATTTGCATAATAATCCTGCGGCCGCCAGCGTCGCGATGCAATTGAAAATGGGGAAGATACGATACCGTCTTCGATTCGTGTAATCAAGAAGAAATTATTGGAGAGGATACAAGGATATCGAATTACGGTAGATAAGATCCTCGTAATTCGCGATATTCGCCGCGGATGACGTTTGCAATTAAGATCGTAATGATATAATTGAACTCACTCCATTTACGTTCACGCTTCTACCGGTCGGTCTACTCGTTTCACTGTCTTATTAGGTTAAACCCAGCGACACAGCGTGCCTACGTAATTACAACAGCGCTAATCGCCCCAAGGCGTCACGCGTAATTAGAATTCATTTTGCAACTCCTCCCATACCTCGGAGAAAATTACAATCCCCTTCGCCCTACACGTCCATCCGTGAACGTCCGCGAACAAAAGCCTTCCTCCACACGTCTCGTCTCCTTTGTTTCCACGTCACTTGATTCGTTCAACGAATTTATCCAATTCGAACGATCTGCAACGTGACGCGATCGGCCGTCGGTCGGTCGGTCGGCGGATTAAACAGCTTTAATTAAATATCATTTCGTAACCGGCCCAGTTATGAATAAATCGAAGGAATTCCTGACACGACCGTTCGATATCACCGTGATCGTTGTTTCGCAACGCCAACTCTATTCACCCTGTTTTCCATCATTCGACGACAGCATATCATTTTCCCCCGAATAGAAAATCGAGAGTTCGTCCAATCTCGTTCGCGTTAGAAAGTAATAATTATCGATGAAATGATACATACATATTGTCGTCGACGAGCAAGTCTCGCGTTTACGCGCCAATGATTTTCTTCCCCTCCCCGATACTGCCACTATTTAAATAACCCGGTTGCACGGTTATTATTTATATCACACAAATCCAAATTCGTCGTCGAGCAAATCCGATCGATCGATCTCATCAAATCCTCCTGTCGTTCGTTGCACGCCATTTATTTGGACGATTCTCGTCGAGGCGTGAAGCGAACGCAGGTAGTCAAATGGCTTTCCCTAAAAGCTGTTCCCTCGCTTTGGATATCCGTGTCCTTCGCGATACGGGCATGGTCGGACAATCTCGGGCGCGGCTGCCGTTACAGCGGCCGCAACGGGCGTACACGTCGACCTGTTCAGGTACGACGACGACGAAGGATGTTTTGGTCGAAGCCAATATCTCCGCCATGCATCATTGCCGTCATCGTGTTTCGTACGGGTCTCGTATAACAAATGGTGGCTAAGGTGTGGAGAGAGGAGGGAGGAGGGGGAGAGGAAGGGGGGGGAGGGGCCCTTGTCTCATGGTGTCTTGTTCCATTTTCGCGCGCACTAATCATCCGCATTGACAGGGCCTCGTTCGCAGGCAAAAACTTGCTTAAATTCTGCTGCCACTGGCTCGTCCGCTTTCCTTCGTCTCTCTCTCTCTCTTC